GAGGAACGGCGCAAAGGCCGACGAACAGCGGGAGCAGGAGCAGCACCAGAGGGGTAAAGGGGGGAAGAGGGGGGTACTGTATTGACGTTGTTCTTAGCTTCAGTATCAGCACCGTGCTCCAGCAGCATCTCCATCACCTTGACATGACCGTTTTGGCAGGCAATGTGCAGTGGCGTTTGGCGATTCTGTGGGATGATGCATCAGCATGATGTACAGGTACAGCAGCATTGTCATGTGGTACAGGTGTAATATCATAGGGGTTAATGGGAGGAAGAGGAAGGTACTGTACTGACGCTGTCCTTAGCTTCAGCATCCACGCCGTGCTTCAACAGCATCTCCACCACCTTGACATGACCGTGACCGCAGGCAGTGTGCAGTACTGTATCGTTGCGCTGTGGGATGATGCATCGGCATGATGTACAGGTACAACAGCATCATCATGTGGTCCAGGTGTACCATCATAGGGGGCTAAAGGGGGTAAGGGGAGGTACTGTACTGACTTTGGTCTTGGCTTTAGCATCAGCACCGTGCGTCAACAGCATCTCCACCACCTTGACATGACCGTTTTGGCAGGCACAGTGCAGTGGTGTCCAGCCATTCTGTGGGATGATGCATCAGCATGACGTACAGGTACAGCATCATCATCATCATCATCATCATCATGTGGTACAGGTGCACCATCATAGTAGGGGGGTCAAGGGGAGAAGAGTACTGACCCCGTCCTTGGCTTTAGCATCAGCACCGTGCTTCAACAGCATCTCCACCACCTTGACATGACCCCGATAGCAGGCCATGAGCAGTGGTGTATTGCCGTTCTGTGGGATGATGCAAACATACAGCAAAAGTCCCATGTTATACCACGTCACCCCATCCAGTGATGCATTCAAAGCGTGACAACATCATATCAAACGTACCTCATCCTTGTATTGGGCAGCATCTCGAATACGTTGTTGGTCCCAACTGGTCAACAGCTGCACCGCTTGCGTTTGTTGTTCTGATGACCAACACGCATCGTACAGCTGCTCTCCGTCATCATCCATAGTTACGATATCTCTCTTCTCTATTCACCATCCGCTTCAAACCGCTTTTCTTGCTTCTCTAGCCACAACCAATTTCATGAGCCCCCTCAAGTACAACTCGTCTGACAACCCAGAATTCGGACTGAGCGCGCGCGGAGTTTCCAAAACGGCAGCCGGTGGGCGGGCCTTTGCTCTTCTCTGTCTGGTGCAGCAAACGACTCACCTTTGGCCAAATGTCTTGGTTGACAGTTGCGAGGACAGGTGTACTTTGGTTACCCAGGCACACGCTGACGACTGTGAGGCGAGATCCGTGACCTCAATGAAAAAAAAAAAGTTGCAGCGGCGCTTTCAACAAAACGATCTGGCATCTCCACAAGGCCCCGACCAGGAGGGTCCCGTAGCAAGCACACTCATCCACCTCACACACAAGCAAGACGCGTCGAGCAGCCCGCCGAGGCCGATGCCACAGAGGCGAAGACGAAAAAGAGGTCAAAAGCAAAAGGCAAACACAAGCAAGCAAAAGAAAGCAGAAAATGCAAAGAAAAAATACCATGTTGTACATGTTCATGTACACGTTTTCAACGGTGTTTTTTTTCTTTCTGTTCTCATGAGTCAAAACAATTTGTCAGACGAGCAAATCTTCGACGGAGACACTTTTTCACCTGTTCATCGAGACAACTTCGGTCACGTACCAAGTGTCATCCCTTATGGTTTGACCGTTGAGATTCGTTCTTCCGTTACAATTTCCGTTGCATTTTCCTTCTCCTCAACGGTGAGTCCCCACCCTTCCTCATTCCTCGCATGCGCTGCCATTTATTGATGCGTGAACCATCTCACCTTGCCTTTCTTTTCTTTGCGTGCAGCCATTATGGCGACTCCTTCTCCGGTGTCTTGTGCAATCTGCAACATGCTTGTCTCGGATTCCAATGAGCAACGCCATGTTCAAACGCACCATTCCACTCCACCCGATCTCCGCCGCCCTTCCGAGTGCTTTCCTTCTCTGAACTGGATTGACTGTCCTGCGCCAGGATGTGTGTGCTCAATGCGCAAGGGCGATCCGCTGATGGCGCACTACATTGAAAGCCATCCTGTACATGCCAACGAAAATTTGACCACCTTTTTTCCCAGCGCTGTTTGCTGCGACTGCGGCCACTGGTCCTTTAATCGCGTCTGCGCCAAAAGGCATCGCTCTATGAAGCATCGTGATGCAATAACGCATCCCCCCAAGGTCAGCTCCCGCGTCTTCGTGCTCGGACATGCACTACGCACAGTGCAATTGATCCTTTGGCAGGCCTGCCTC